TTGTTTTTGAATGTCAGAAATGTATATTTGTGAATGTTGAGCAGTGGCGTCTCTAGGATTCATTTTTCGGGGGGGCACATGGAGGGCCAGTGACAAAAGTAGGGGGGCACATTTAACCCCACCGCAGTTTGACCCCGCCCCTGTCGCATGTTAAGCCACGCCCCCGACACGATGTGTTTTGTTTTTTTAATAATACCTGGTGGAGGATTCATTATTTTCCACCAGGGATTATTAAAAAAACAAACACATTATCCTTGATACAGTGCCATAGTTGCCAACATTTGAAAAAAAAAAATCCAAGGACATTTTGCAGCACAGCTATCAATTACTGTCTGGGTATAATATCCCTGGACAGTCAGTGCTCTCTGTATAATACAGGGTTGTGTGTATAATAAATTGGGAAACTCAGTGCTCCCTGTATAGTGCTGCTCTCTGTATAATACAGGTCTGTTTGTGTATAATATCCCAAGACAGACAGCAGCACTATACAGGAAGCACTGACTATCCCAGGATATTTTATACACACAGATCTGTATTATACAGATAGCTGAGCATATACCCCAATCTCTAGACTACTAGTACCTGTCAACAGCAGCTCCCAGACGCGTGTAACAGAGCTAAAGTGTGCGGCAGCTCACACAGATTATTCAGCGGTAAAGTGCACTCGCTGGCAGAGCCAAACTGGGAATCCCTGGGAATCCAAAGCAGCCCTGGAAAAAAAATGTATGCCATTCCTACAAGTCAAAAAAAAAAAAAAAATATATATATATATATATATATATATATATATATATATATATATATATATATATATATATGTAGTACAGTAAGCACACAAGCTTACTGACAGACAAAACTCTCTGACTCACACACAAGCTTACTACAGACACTCACTTGTATAAACAGAAGGCTCACTACAAAGAAGTTCAGGGGGACACACACAAGCTCACTAAAGACAAGCTCACTGACACACACATGCTCACTAAATAGAAGCTCACTGACACACACAAGCAGTACCATTTTAACAGAGTTAAGGGCCCCTGGGCAAAGCAATACACTGGGGCCCTTCCTACACAACAACTCACAGGAATTTTAATTATTGATAGACTGCGGAGTCCATACACACACACAGACTGCTGAGTCCATACACACACACAGACTGTTGAGTCCATACACACACACACACACACACACAGACTGCTGAGTCCATACACACAGAGATTTGCTGAGTCCATACACACACACACAGAGACTGCAGAGTCCATACACACACACACACACACAGACTCTGCAGGGTGCTTTACACACACACACAGACTCTGCAGGGTCCATACACACACACACACACACACAGAGACTCTGCTGAGTCCATACACACACACACTCTGCTGAGTCCATACACACACACACTCTGCTGAGTCTGTACACACACACACACACTCTGCTGAGTCCGTACACGCACAGACTGCTGAGTCCATACACACAAACACACAGACTCTGCTGAGTCCATACACACACACAAACACACAGACTCTGCTGAGTCCATATACACACACAGACTGCTGAGTACACAAACACACAAAGACTGCTGAGTACACAAACACACACTCTGCTGAGTCCATACACACACACAGACTGCTAAGTCCATACACACACACAGACTGCTGAGTCCATACACACACATATTGCTGAGTCCATACACACATAGATTGCTGAGTCCATACACACACACACACACACAGACTGCTGAGTCCATACACACACAGACTGCTGAGTCCATACACACACACACAGATTGCTGAGTCCATACACACAAACACACACAGACTGCTGAGTCCATACACACAAACACACACAGACTGCTGAGTCCATACACACACACACAGACTCTGCTGAGTCCATACACACACACACAGACTCTGCTGAGTCCATACACACACACACAAACTCTGCTGAGTCCATACACACACACACAGACTCTGCTGAGTCCGTACACACACACACACACTCTGCTAAGTCCATACACACACACACTCTGCTGAATCCGTACACACACACACACACACACACACAGACTGCTGAGTCCATACACACACACACACAGACTGCTGAGTCTATACACACACACACAGACTGCTGAGTCTATACACACACACACAGACTGCTGAGTCTATACACACACACACAGACTGCTGAGTCTATACACACACACACACACACACACACACACTGCTGAGTCCATACACACACACTGCTGAGTCCATACAGTGTGTGTGTGTATAGAGACTCAAATATTAATATTAATTGTAGGATGTATGTGGGAGCAATAATATTATTAATATGAAGGCAGTGTGTAGGCAGCTCATGAGGGCACAGTATGGGGGAACAATGTGTGTCTATAGGGAAGCAGTAGGGGGCACAATATGTAATGTATGAAACGAATGTGTGTGTGTATGGGAAACTATCGAGAGGGAGCAGTGTGTGTATGGGGGCAGTGGTAGTATGGGGGGCAGTGTTGGTATGGGGGCAATGTGTTTCCTATGAGAGAGCAGTATATGGGGGGAGCCTTGTGTGTGTATGGGGGATTTAACAGGGGCAGTGTGTGTGTATGAAGCTTGAATATTATTGTATGTACAGTATAGGGGACAGTGTATGGGAGGCTGTGTGGGGCGGTATGTGTGTGTGTATGGGGGAGGCACTGTATGGGGGCAGTGAGAGGGTGTGTATGGGAGAGGCTGTATGGGGGCAGTGTGTGTGTGTGTATGAGAGGCTTAATGTGTGTGTATGAGGCAGTGTGTGTGTATGAAACTGTATAGAGGCAGTGTGTGTGTATAGAGAGGCTTGATGTATATGTGTGTATGAGGGGGAGCTGTGTGTGTGTGTGTATGGGAGGGCTGTATGGGGGCTGTAGGGGCAGTGTGTGTGCATGGGGGCAATGTGTGTGTGTACACCCCCACCCCCCCAGCCTACCTGTCACTGGGGGTCAGGCAGCCATCTTCTGAAGCAGCATGGGCTGCTGCATTACGGCGGGGGCGGGGCTTATCGGCGGGAGGTGTGGCTTTGTTTGGGGGCGGGGCCTGTGCCGGGGAGCCAATCAGTGCTCCATCCAGCCACAGACAGCCCCCAACAGCTCTCTTCTGCATTCCCTCGGGCTGTGACAGGCTGTTACAGTCCGAGGGAAGCCCATGGCCAGCAAGTTGCTGGCATTTGGGGGGGCCCAAGGGGGGGCACAGCATGATGTAGGGGGGGCCATGGCCCCCTCTGGCCCCCCCCTAGCGACGCCACTGATGTTGAGATGTTATATTGGTTTCATTGGTAATAATAAATAATTGAAATGGGTATATATTTGTTTTTTGTTAAGTTGCCTAATAATTATGTACAGTAATAGTCACCTGCACACACAGATATCCCCCTAACATAGCTAAAACTAAAAACAAACTAAAAACTACTTCCAAAAATATTCACCTTTGATATTAATGAGTTTTTTGGGTTCACTGAGAACATGGTTGTTGTTCAATAATAAAATTAATCCTCAAAAATACAACTTGCCTAATAATTCTGCACTCCCTGTATGCTCTATGATGAATTGCTGTGAGGTCTCAGCTTCTATAGATATATATCCACTATATGCTCTATGTATGAGTTACTGTGAGCAGTATATGTACCCACTAAATGTCCAATGACGAGTTACTGGGAGAAGTATATGTATCTGCTATATGCTCTATGACGAATTGCTGTGAGGTCTCAGCTTCTCTCTCTCTCTCTATATATATATATATATATATATATCCACTATATGCTCTATGTATGAGTTACCAGGAGGGCTCAGCCTCAGTATGAGTATACACTAGATGCTCTATGTAGGAGTTATTATGAGGACAGCCTCTGTATATGTATCCGCTATATGCTCTATGACGAGTTGATGTGAGCTTTGTATGAGTTACTATGAGGACTCAACCTCAGTATAGGCTCTATTGATGAGTTAATGTGAGAACTCAGCCATCAGTATATGTATCCACTAGAGGTTCTATGTATGAGTTATTATGAGGTCTCTGCCTCTCTATATGTATCTACTATATGCTCTATGACGCATTGATGTGGGGACTTAGCTTCAGTATATGCATCCACTTTATGCCCTATGTATAGTTACTATATAGACTCAGCCTCAGTCTATATACCCACTAAATGCTCTATGTATAAGTTTTTTTAAGAGGACACAACCTCTGTAGATGTATCCACTAGAGGGATATCTTACATGTGGGGAGTTTAAATACCACTGTATGCTGTTTTACTCAGAGCTGGTTATAGCTCTCCCAATTGTAAGTTGGCACTCTTAGGACCTCAGTGTTGTCTGTTGTTGCAGTTAACCTACGTTATTGCACGAATGGGTTTTTCCCCCTTTTATGTATTTTATATGCTGATGCTTATCTGGAATGCTGTAAGAAGTCTTGAGGATACACCTTCAAGTGTCCAGTTATATCCTACATGTGGGGAGTATTAAATACCACTGTATGCTGTTTTACCTAGAGCTGGGCATAGCTCTTTATATTGTGAGTTGGCACTTCTCTACTTCTATGTTGTTCGTGATCCAGCTTTCCTAAAACAGTTTTGCACTATTGGTCTCTGTTTCTGCTTTTGTATTTCATATTTACCACTGAGGATTCAAATCAAGGACTGAAGAATATACACTCCAGGTCTTCACTGTACTTTAAGAGACTCTTTATATTATTGCTGATTTTTGTTTATTATCTCTCATTGTCCAACTTAGCGCACCCTGTATTTGTTGTATATTGTTCCATCAGAGCTTAGTCCTTTAGTGGACTCTAAAATGGGAGATTCTATCAGCCTAGTCGGGAAAGGTAGAGGCTCTAGATGGGTGTTTTTTTCAATTATTCCCATCGTGTAAAAGCTCTACTTTCTTGGTGTAAATCCTCAGAGTTCCTTTCAGGAGGCATGTTTCTTGCATCTGAAGTTCATTAAAGATGCTGTCGAAACTGTTGGGTGAGCTTATCTAGTTTCCATCATACTTTGAGGTTTAGGTTAAGAGAAATTCCGCAGTTTCGGGGGTTTTAGCCGTGCCTTCCGCCTTCACCCCTCCAGTCAGTGGATGCAGCGGAAGGCCATATAGATTCAAATGGACTTGTTTACAATGGGTTTATACGTCAACCGGCAAGGAGGAATCAGAGTAGGGGCTCTTTATCGCCTGTAGGCGGTTATCTTACTGTGGTGCAAAAATATCTAGTAGATATTTCGGAAGTTTTCTTTTCAGAGGGATCGACAATTACATAGCCGTCAAGCTTGGCAGGGGTAATTGGAATCAGAGAGTTTGGTCCTGAGGTACATGTGTTGTTTTATGTTCTGGAGAGGAAGTTTGATTTTCCAGACTTGACCCTTAGGGCAAGCATTACAGAAGCCAGGTTCCCCAAGTTACCTCCCTGTTCAGAGCAGGTCCCTTCGATGATTAGAGATACTATCATTGAAATGTAATGTCAAGCTGGCATACGTCTTTCTTACGCTGACACTATTTCCAAGGATTCTTCGGAAATTAGGGCAGTCGGAACTTTATCCTGGTTTCTTTTTCTACTCTAGGCCAAACAAGGTTCTTGTTCCCGACGTTCAAGAAGATGGCCTCCACACAGTGGGAACTTCCAATCTCGTACAATCTCATAGTAAACAGGAATCTAACCTAGAGTTCTGTAGAAGTTCAGGTTTATGGCCTCGCTACAGCTGTGTTAAACTAGACTTCCTGCTTTTTCGGTCTACTTTCATATAAAGGTCAAGTTTCTTTTTTGATGGTGGGAACACCATTGCCCGTGTGTTCATCCATCTCTAAGACCCATGTTTCATATTTTTCTGGAAGTTTTTTTCTGCAAACCTTGGTCTTTCTGCTTTGAAGTTCAAGCCTCAGTCCTAAGACTCACTGAGAAAGATTTTGCATCCGTTTGTTAATCCATAGGTTTGTTGTAATCTGTCAGGTCCAGACATCCTCCTAAAGATCTGTTTTTTTCCTGCCTCGGGTTTATCCTTGATTTTTCCAGCTCTTTGTGTCCCTCTTTCGATCTTTTGGAAGAGGTATCCCTTACAGGTTGCTTTCCTCTAGGTCGCCTTCTTGGTGGCCGTTCAGACCAGCTAAAGATTCAGTGAGCTTCAGACATTTCTTCCCCAGATGATTTTTGCAGTATTGATATGGACAGGGTAGTTCTTCACCTTAAGAAGCTTCCTTTTTTTCCCCTACAAGTCAACCGAGGGTGTCTGCTTTCCCTTGGGTGATTGTCTCACCTCTCTTCGGGAGCTTAAAGAGTTTTTTTTTTTCTTGGAGCATTGCAAGGTTTTTCTTCCTAGGATTGAGGAGCTCAGCTATTCTGGCCTGTTGTTTGCTAACCTCCAGTGTAGATTCCACTTGTACGGAGCTTCCTGCAAAAACTTTGGTTTAAATTGACTCAGACGAGCAATTAGATAGGCATATTTTACCGGTGGTCCTTAAAGTGCCAATATCTCTCATGGCTCTTTTCACTCGGGGTTTTGGCTGCCCCTGTGGGGGTAGAGCTCTTGTTTCTCCAGTAGATGTCTGTAAGGCAGCATCTTGGGCTGCCTTTCCACATCTTTGTTATTCTCTACAGGCTAGAGATATTCTCATCCTCGTAAACGGCCTTTGGGCATAAAGTTTGTGAGCTGTGCTAGCATTGGACCCACCCCGTTGGGGTATCTTGCTATATCCTACATGTACTGCCACCATATGATAGAAAAAACAGAAATTTCACTTACCGTAAATTCTTTTTTTCTTAACATGGTGGCAGTACAATCTCTCTCTCTCTCTCTCTCTCTCTCTCTCTATATATATATATATGTATATATATATATATATATATATATATATAATATATATAAAAATAGTAACAAATCTTGCACTCCACTCAAACAACTAGTATCACGCCCGGTGCTTGTCCAGACAAAAACACAAAAAAATATTGGGATAGCACTCCAAGGATTTAATATAAAATGCAACTTTTATTACCTTCTAAATAAAAATGGTCAACGTTTCAGCTTGATCCCCTCAAGCTTTCCTCAGGACATTACATTTTTTATAGTCCTTGGAGTGCTATCATTCAATATTTTTTTATATATATATATATATATATATATATATATAAAGAATTTTAGGTTAAGTTTTATGTTTCTTCTTGCTACTTACTGGGGTAGGTTTTGCCGGATATAGGGCAAGGGGGAGGGGTTTGTTGATTTAATCAATCTGGTTAGATGCTTGTCCACAGGAAAGGAGCAAAACCCACATGTACTGCCACCATATTAAGAAAAAAAGAATTTACGGTAAGTAAAATTTCTGTTTTTTGTGTTATTTTTCACACATTCTACTTTAGGCATGGATTCTCAGTTCTGGTTATGTGTTACTGCCAAAGAATACCCCAATATGTGTTCAGCAACATCTCCTGAGTACAGTGATATCACCCATTGGTTTGTTGGGTTGTTTGGGGGTGCAAAGCCAAACTTCTGACATGTGTTTTTCAAATTTGACATATCTTCTTTGCCTATCTTCTTTTTGGGGACCTTTTTACATATCACAATTTATTTTCTTGCCATGAACCTTAATATATTTGAAAAGTTGACACCCCAAGGTATTTTATATAAAGTGTTTTGATACAACAGTTTTAGCCAAAAATAATTTTTCAATTTTCATTTTTACACACACGTTTCTGTGTGAGTTAGGGGAGCCTGTTGTTGGTTATTGCAAGAAAACACTCCAGGTTTGCAAGGCCTCCTCAGTTACATCCATTCCATCCATGCCACCCATGCCCCACATGCATAGGTATGCCAGGATTTTGAGAAGGTTCAGTTACAATTGTATGAATTGTAATGTGAGTTGAAATTGAGAGCATTTCTTCTGATAGGCCTATCTTTAGTTTGGGGCCTATCACGCACCCCAGTTTTATATATTGCCATGAAAGTGTATATATTTGGAACGTAGACACCCCGAGGTATTTTATATGGAGTGCTTTGATGCAACAGGTTTAGCCCAAAAAATTGGAGAAAGTGTGTGGTAATTTTTCATTTTTCATTTTTACACACACATTGCTTTTTGACTGTGATTTAAGAGAGCTTGTTGTTGGTTATTGCAAGAAAACACTCCAGGTTGTTTTCTGCAAGACCTCCTGAGTACATTAATGCCCCCCATACATAGGTTATAAAAATAGTCTGGCACAGTAAAAGTAAAAAAAAAACTCTGGAACAGTAAACGTAACCAAAAATTTTGTAAAAACCTGAGCAGCAAATGTAATTTTTTTTTTTTTAAATGGACCAGTGTGTGGTATTGCTTAAAGCAGTCCTCAACGCAGAGTCCAGGCTGTCCAGGGCAATCAGGACAGTAAAATACGGTGTCCTTTCTCTGCCCCCTTCTTGAAACAGACTCTGCATCTTTATTGAGGATTCTGCTTTGCCGCGGTAGGGGGTATTTAAAAAATAAAGCAGGTAGCCCCAACTCTCCTCTCTTACAACACTGCCCAGGAGCAGGTGCATCTTGGTACAAAATCCCCAAAATTATCTGGAGCTGAAACTGTAAAAAAGCTTGAACAAAGGGACACTTGTATAAAAATTGTCTGTATACAAGTGGTACCCTTGGAATATCAGGTCCCAGACAATTTTGCCACTGGTTCCCATATGTTCTGGGCAACCTGGAGGGTCAAGGTGTTTATCCTTTCCCTCTTTCACCTGGAAGGCCTGAGTATACCCAGTCTCGCTCTCACAGAGCTTATACACCTTTACACCATACCTGGAGTGCTTGGAAGGAATTGACCTGATCACACAAATGGGGATCATAGTTATAATAAAATTGTTATAGGGGCAGTGGCGTACATACCAGGGTCGCAGGGGTCGCGGCTGCGACCGGGCCCGGCCCACCAGGGGGCCCGGCCGCCCCTGCGACCCGGTATGTAGCCACTGGGCCAGCCTCTTCCCCTGGGGGGCCCAGGAGCCGGCCACCCCAGGGCCCCCCGAGGCTGGCCCTGCTGACCCGGGCGGGTGGCCGGTCGGGCAGGCAGGCAGGCGGGCGCGCGCGCGAGGGAGCACTCATTGCTTCCTCTTCAGCTCCCTCGCGCACCGCACTGGAGCTGAAGCAGTGAGTGCTCCCTCGCGCGCCCGCCTGCCCGCCCGCCTGCCTGCCTGGGGTCAGCAGCACCACTGGACCCCAGGGAATCCCCCCAGCACTCCAAAAGGTAAGGATGCTGGGGGATTACATAAAAAAAAAAAAAAAAATGGTGTTAGTGTTTGAGTGTGTGTAAGTGTTAGTGTGTGTGTGTGTGTTAGAGTGAGTGTTAGTGTGAGTGAGTGTTAGTGCTAGTGTGTGTCTGCTAGTGAGTGTTAGTGTGAGTGTTAGTGTGTGTGTCTGCTAGTGAGTGTTAGAGTGAGTGTGAGTGTGTGTGTCTGCTAGTGAGTGTCAGTGAGTGTGTTACTGTGTGTGTCTTACAGAGTGTGTGTGTTAGTGAGTCTGTTTGATGTCTGTTAGTGAGTGTGTGTCAATGAGAGTGTATGTTTTGTAAGTGAGTGTGTATGTATGTCTGTCGCTGACTGTGTCTCTGTCAGTAAATGTGTGTGTCTGTTAGCTAGTGTGTATGCGTCTGTAAGTGTGTGTCTTTAGCACTTACCTTTCTCCAGCGCCGGACTCCCTTGGCACTGGGGATCCCTCAGCCTCTCAGCTCCGAATGCGACTGCGCACGCATTCAAACCGCCCATAGGAAATCATTACTCAATGCTTTCCTATGGACGTTCAGTGTTTTCCTCTAGCGGCTGTCAGTGAGACAGCCACTAGAGGCTGGATTAACCCTCAGTGAAACATAGCAGTTTCTCTGAAACTGCTATGTTTTCAGCTGCAGGGTTAAAACTAGAGGGACCTGACACCCAGACAACTTCATTGAGCTGATGTGATCTGGGTGTCTGTAGTGGTCCTTTAAAGGACCACTATAGTGCCAGGAAAACATACTCGTTTTCCTGGCACTATAGTGCCTGAGGGTGCCCCCACCCTCAGGGGCCCCCTCCCGCCCAGCTCTGGAAAGGGGTAAAACTTACCTTTTTCCAGCGCTGGGTGGAGAGCTCTCCTCCTCCGATCCTCCTCTTCTCCTCCCCTTCGGCTGTATGCGCACGCGCGGCAAGAGCTGCGCGCGCATTCAGCCGGTCACATAGGAAAGCATTCATAATGCTTTCCTATGGACGCTGGCGTGCTCTCACTGTGAAAATCACAGTGAGAAGCACGCAAGCGCCTCTAGCGCTGTCAATGAGACAGCCGCTAGAGGAAATAGGGGAAGGCTTAACCCATTCATAAACATACATAAAAAATGGGTTAACCCTAGCTCGACCTGGCACCCAGACCACTTCATTAAGCTGAAGTGGTCTGGGTGCCTAGAGTGGTCCTTTAAGTGTGTGTGCATCTGCATGCACTGGCGTACATACCGCGGTCGCAGGGGTCACAGCCCTGTAACCCCTGCGACCAGGTGCCCACCGCCATGTGTTGCGGTCCGACCCGCGCGCGCGGGGGGCCCATGGATCAATTTTCGCACCGGGGCCCCATGGGTCATGTGTACGCCACTGTATAGGGGCAAGCTCTGATTGGATATCCCTAGCCTGCCTCTATGATGATGCAGGCTAGGGACACCCCCAGAAGCCTCATGATGCACTGTCTTTAGAAAGGCAGCCCCATATTGGAAGCCACATAGCGGGCCGGGTGGGGGAGAGGGTTAATACATTTATTTTATTTTTATTTTATTTAATTTATTGATTTTTTTAAATGATTTAAAAAAATATATATTTATTCTTCACTGAGTGCCTCGAGCCCTCAAGGCACTCAGCACACAGGCAGAGCATTGGAAGCCTGCCCGATGGCTTCCGATGCTCTGCTACACTGCCGGGTTCCACGTGGGGCAACCCGGAACTGATCCTTCCAGGGGAGCAATCACCTGGCAGCACGGCAGTCAGTAGAGGTATTGCAGGATGCCTCCACATCAAGGCATCGCTGCAATACCATTAGAGCGGCTGGAAATGATCACGATCGCTTTTAGCGCTCACATTTGCCGCTGATGTACCAGGTACGTCCGAGGTCATTAATGACTGTTGATTGTCGGATGCACCTGGTATGTCAGCGGTCATGAAGGGGTTAAAGCAACACTTTAAACTTCAAAACAACTTTAGCTTAATGAAGGCCTTTTCGAGTATAGATCATGCCCTTGCAGTCTCACTGCTTAATTCTCTGTCATTTAGGAGTTAATTCACTTGTTTAAACAGCACTAGTCACACCTCCCTAGGTCGTGGCTCACACAGCCTCCCTACATATACAAAAAAAATTGCTTTCATTATGGCACATCGTGCTTAATTTAGGCTGTCATATCTCCTTTCTTAATAACCTGCTAGAGCCTGCAAAAGCCTCCTGTGTATACCAGAATAAGTGTGCCCAGGGCCTAGGCTGCTTTGTTGTGTGTGGTGGAGGTTGAGAGCTGTATGTTGTGGGGAAAGGAAGGTGAGGCTGACTGTGCTTTTGTGTGTTGTGGCTGGATTTTGTGTGTGGTGGCTGGATTTTGTGTGTGGAAAAGTCCAAATGTTGTATGTATAGGGCAGTCTGAGTGTAGTTGAGTCTTGTGTGTGTAGTGTTTGAGTGTATGCGTGGGGAAGTTTTTCTTTGGGGTTCCTCCTTCTTACTTTTTGGCAAGGGGGTATGTTATCCCTGGTTGTCAAGTGGAGGGCAATTTAGGCTGGATACCTGGTGGTCTGGTGATTTGCACCAATAGCAAGAGTCACCTCGCAATCCTGCTCTCAGTCAATCACTCTCAGTCATTCTGAAGCAAACTGTGAGGGATCTGCTAGAGGTACAGACCAAAAAGCTCCCTCAAGCAGGTGACTGGGCACAGGGCCTTACTGGCTCATTGAGGGCCCCCTCACAACCAGAGCCAAAGCTCCGGGGCCAACTGGGCTTAGCCTCTTAATGGGTAACATGGCACTGTGAGTGAAGTTCAATAAACAGAGCAGGTAACATGAACTGCTAAAGTAAATAAACTGTGTTGTAAGCAGGGCCGGCCTTAGGTGATCAGACGCCCTGTGCGAGCCCAACATATGGCGCCCCCCCCCTTCAGCAAAACCTCTGCCCCTTCTACAATAGCCCTGTTCCGCCTTCTACAAAACCCTTCCACAAACCCCAGCCCCCCTTTCTACAAAACCCCTGCCCCCCTTTTTACAAAACCCCTGCCCCCTCTACAAAACCCCTGCTCCCCCTTTAATAAAACCCCTGCCCACCCTTCTATAATTTTTTTTCTCCCCCTTTAACAAAACACATGCTATCATTATATATATCAACTATACAGCAATGTTCACATAATATCACTAAAAACCTTCCCCCTACACCAAAACCACTGCCACCCTCTACAAAAGTCCTGCACTCATTCTACATAAACCTCTGCTCCCCTTCTACAAAACCCATGCTCCCCTTATACTAAGCCCCTGCTCCCCTTCAACTAAACCCCTGCTCCCTTATACTAAACCCCTGCCCCCCTTATACTAAACCCCTGCTCCCCTTATACTAAACCCCTGCTCCCCTTATACTAAACCCCTGCCCCCTTATACTAAGCCCCTGCTCCCCTTATACTAAACTCCTGCCCCCCTTATACTAAAGTCCTGCCCTGTTATACTAAACCCCTGCCCCCCTTATATTAAAGTCCTGCCTCCCCTTATACTAAACCCCTGCTCCCCTTATACTAAACCCCTGCCCCCTTATACTAAACTCCTGCCCCCTTATACTAAACCCCTGCCCCCTTCTACTAAACCCCTGCTCCCCTTCTACTAAACCCCTGCTCCCCTTATACAAAACCCCTGCTCCCCTTATACTAAACTCCTGCCCCCTTTACAAACCCCCTGGTCCCCCTTCAACAAAACCCATGCCCCCTCCACAAAATCCTTTCCCCTGCCACTTCACCAGAAATGCCTGCCCCCTCTTCTACAAAACCTCTCCTCTACACCAAAACCCCTACCCCCTTTTTTACAAAACCTCTAACCCCTTCTATAAAACCTCTGCTCCTCCCTAAACCAACCCCCTTATACAAAACCCCTTCCCCAAAATCCCAGCGAGAAAACCTCTGCTCCCCCTTCTGCAAACCCCCACACACACACACACAAAAACAACAATCTATTTAATTTAAAAAAAAAAAAAGCAATAGTTACAACAAGAATAAACAGACTCACATTAAAGCTTGCTGCTCCCTGGAACCTCCTGACAGTGTCCCAGTCTGCCGACCTTGATACCAGCACTGACCTCCTCCCTCACACTCACTGTGCGGATCCTTCCGCGGATGACTGTGGAGGCGGAGCATGCTCTTCCTCCGTGCTCCTGACCTCCTCTCTCTCCCGGCCGCTGCTCTCTTCATAATTTGCAAGTCAAGTGCGCAGCATAATGCACTTGACTTGCTCTGCACATGACTCGGGCCGGCATGTGAGTGACTGAGTGCGAGCTGTGCTGGCCGCCCGGCGCCCCTGTTGCCATGGCGCCCTGTGCGGCCGCACAGCTCGCACACCCCTAAGGCCGGCCCTGGTTGTAAGATCTGCAGGCTGTGTTAGTCACAATTAGCAAAGGTGTGGCTAGGGCTGCATAAACAAAAACAAAAGTGCAATGAAAACTAACTTAGAGTTCAGCTGCATAAATAAAAAAAAATACATAATTAATGGGGGATAACCACAAAAGTGTAATGCTAAATAACCAAAAGGTAGAAGGAAAACAAATAAAACATAACTTTTATTCATTCACGGTTTTATCTATTTTTTTCTCAAATACAAGAAAAATAAAATACTGCATGTATCTTTATTTATTATATAGACTATATCAAACGTCATACAATCAGATCCTTCATAGAGAATCTAAAAAGCTTGTAACTAGGAAAATAAAATAATAATTTAACTGTACATCATAATTGTTAAATACAAGCCAATGTATACTAGAAGATCAGTATATATCAGAGAATTGTGAATATATATGGAATTGTAGTTTAATGTCACATGAAATACTTAGTCTGCCATAGAATATATACTAGCCAATGCCTGATTACGTTTTACTTATTTATTTGTATTTTTTGTGTGGTTATTTAGAAACAATAGTGATTTTACTCTTAAATTGCAGATAACTGAGCAGTGAGATTGCAGGTACATTATCTGTACATCACAAAAAGCCTCATTAAGCTAAAGTTGTTCTGGAGCTTAGAGTTGGCCTTTGATTGTATTATATGCTAAACAGTATGCAAAGAACCTTCCTAAGGCTAGTCAATGGCTCACAATGGCCATTTCTGCAATTCATTATTTTTGGTGGGTAGTTGATAAGACAATTGCTCTAAATTATATGGATCTCAGAACCTACCTTCATATAGACATCTACTGTCCCCCACAGATTCCCAGTGATATTTTTTGTAAGGGTTGAGAGGAGTAAGATCCTCCAGTTATGATGTTCTTGCTTTTAAGATAACTTTTCTCTTTACAGCTGGTTGTCTTTTTCAGAGTTTTCTTTTAAATTTACAGCATGTTTTTGTTAAAACCTGTACATTTTTGAAGAACTAATCACTTTTTTTTTTTTTTCAAAAAGCATATTCATTCGTCTATGTATTACTTTATATTTACCAGCAGATGGCAGTATCCTACCATTAACCAAGATTCTAAATGCCTTCCATATGTTGTCAGTGATGCTGGATATTTGAAAGCTATACTAGTAAGAAGAGGTGGTGATATGGGGGGGGAGGGGGTCTTCTACCCCCTTTTTCCCCCCTGCAACCACTCTCTGTTTCTCAACTGATAACTTCAAAAGAATGAAAAGGCTGTCTAAACAGTTTCACTGAGTGCATTTTAGCCCTAGGCTGTATGATCTATTACGTGGATTCCCTGCAGCTTCAGCCTGCTAGTCTACAGACTGCAGCAAGCTAAAATTGGTTTGCTTATATGCACACCATTCCCAGTATTATTGTTTGGGATTAGGCCACCGTACAATGTGATAAAAGAAACTGTTAAATGATTGAAGAAAATCACCCTTCTAGTCACTTTTCTACAGGGATTATTGAACCCTGCTTTTAATATAGTAAACTTGTATCACTTCACTACCCATAATATGTGTCCGCTTTACAGCGGGGCATAGATATTTCTTGAATGGTTTATGCCATGATGGAAGCTCTTGGTACTCTGCCTATTTGTGAACCACATTTACCATACTCATGGTATAGCCAGTTTAGGCCTTATTTAACAAGTATTCAAAGAGTTAAAGATGGGTGTTCTGCAATGTAACTATAGTAGCACTCATTGAAAGTAACAATTTAGCCACTGGGGTATTAATGCCAGACATCAGCAAATTCTGTTTCTCGACCGCCTTCTTCTTTTGCATCTACAAAGTGTTCGACCTCTGTGTAATGAAATGTGTTATTGGTCAATGCTTCAGGCTACTTAGAAAGGCTGAGGGACTCAGTGAACGTGTTTGGAAAAAGTTGTTAGCAATGAAATGGGTCATTAACCATCCTGCCTTGTTAACAACCATGGCCTGCTTATTGCCCGAGTTTGTAATAGTCTTGAAATTACTTTCATGTAAACAAATACACTCCTTCCTCCCTCAGGCAATAAGGAGTCTACAGACAAGGTAACAGGTGCCATTTACTCCCAGTGCTATGTCACTAATTTTACTATTTATTTAAAAGGCTGTCCTGAACCATCAGATCTCTACAAATATTTTCCACTTATTTTTTTTTTTTAATTCACTTTTAGAAAGCCAGATATATTATTTTATGTTTCAGGAAACAGTTCCATAGATGGAACCCCAAGTACATTTAATTTACTGGTTGTTGTAAGCAGTCTGTTTGGACCGTGACTTTGTGTAGAGTTTTGGTGATACTATGCCAATGTGAGGTGCCTATGTGTCATTGCAAAGGGTTAATAAAGGTTATAGAGAGGTAGATGCTAAACCATGTATTGAATAAAATATGTATCTGGTTTGGATTTAGAACTGTAAAAAGTCCTCTGATTCTTAGTTTTTTCTGTGCATGATTCTCTTTCTATATATCATAGTGAATCTCTGCACGTTTATTTCACCTGTGGTGGGCACAGGGCACGTACAGCAAAAGCTGTTCCGTAGTAAAAACTGAAACATGTAATTCTTTGATCGTACTCTATAGTGCATGTATAATCATATGGAATTCATGGGAAAGTGTTTGAGTGCCGAAGAATATATTGGTTCTTAATGGACATATTACAAGCAATCACCAATATTCTAAATACTTTTGGAAACTATTCTTTTTCTTTGGGTTTAGTCGTTTGGATCTATGGGTTTCATCATTAAATAGCGAGTTGTCTCAAGTGCAGTAACTACAAATTCTAGGACAAATTAGTGTCCTAGACTGTGCAGACTGTTTCTTGTCTCACCATGACACACTGTCTTGTGGTTATAGGGTCACTCAAAGCACAATCACAACTTTGCATAATCGCAGAGAGCATCCTAAGCCTTGTCTCAACTTTGAGATTGACTTTGAGATTGAAATTTACCCCAACAGAGCTGCCAGTTATACAGTCATAAAAACAAGGGAGAAGAGTCTGCGCTAGATAACAGGAAAGTAAGCAGCAACCCTAAAAAAGGGAATCCCTCAAGACTAGAAATGGTAAAAATGGGTAAGGGCTGTGCTAAAATACAGTAGCCTGTACAGTAAAAACCAGACCAAATGGTCTAAATGAATAGACAACAACAAGTGGGCCTATATAATTGATTAAAAAAAGTCTCTATTTAAACAACAGAAACAAATATAATAAAACAAAGTCCATCTAAGTAGTAAAATGTTAAAATTTTATATATATTTCTAAATAAAAGCCTCACTTTTTATATAAAAATATATTATATGGTTTCTACAAGTCTTGTCTATGGAATTGTAAATATTCAACTTGTTTTAATTATGTTTTCAATATGTTTTTAAATATTTGTTTGTAATTGGTGGATCCGTATTTTGGCGCCAATTTCAATCATTGCAAATTCTTATAAATACTGTTTCATGCCAGGTATACTGTTATACTACCATTTTGATAAAGCCTTAAATGTGAAACGCGTTAATGGTTTTAAATTGTGTATTTTAAACAATAAAAGTTTTTTTTGGTTACCTTTTTTATAGGACCAATCTTCTATTCATTTTATTGTATTTTATATACACTTTTTATTGTTACTTTTCCTGGCTTTTTTATTGTATCCTGATTCAAGAAATCCATAGGTGGGGATCATTCCACCAGTGCTGTGTTAATAGAGCAGTATTCTCTGCTCTACACTTGTGAGTATATTTTATTTTATTTTATCGATTTTATTTATCTTTTCCACCTGAGAGCACTATTGCTGTTTTTTATATATATTGTGGAGTACGATGTAACCAAGGCCAGACTGATGGACACACTTCTTCAGTATATCCCTTAGCGGGGATCATACCGCTAGACGCCCTCCATCCTAGAGCTGGCCTAAGCTCCTCCAAATGTGAGTGTACTATCCTCCTTTTATTTATTTTACCCTTGGATTTACAATACTTCATTATACTTCACAGATTATTTACAACCTGGACGGATCAACTTCTGAGGATTGTGCACATACTCTATCCAGCTATGCCAGTGAGACGTTTTTTTTATTTTTATTCTACTGAACATTTTACTACTTGGATGGACTTTTTTTTATTATATTTTTTTCTGTTGTTTAAATAGAGACTTTTTATCAATTATACAGGCCTACTTGTTGTTGTCTATTCATTTAGACCATTTGGTCTGGTTTTTACTGTACAGGCTACTGTATTTTAGCGCAGCCCTTACCCATTTTTACCAGTTATACAGTCATACATAGTTCCAGGTTGAATACAATAATAGTTAGACGCGTGCAAAAATTTGTTTAAGTGAATAAGACGCCACAAGTGAATCCCAGATGGGTTGATTTGTACAGGTTTGAAATAAAAGCTATTTGATTTGGACAAACCAGCTGAAACAAGCTTTTGCACAATATGAGACTTCTAAAAAAGAGAAAAAAAAAAGAAAGAAAATCTAAAGCCAATGCATACCTCCTAGATGGGGGATAACCCCTGTGTTGAGCAATAAACAAACGAGAAACAAAAAGGAGGAATCAACAACTGGTGTTAAAAATGGAATACTGAGAAAGTAAAATAGTAGCTATAATAAGACTTAACTTTTAATAAGTAAAGTTAAAAAGTCCCAAATGGGACTGGACCAAGAGCGAACTACAATACTTGATCGTTTAAACGTAAATTTAATTGCCATATTGTAAAATGTTAAAGAGAAAAAAGTTGCAAAGGAGATGTATAAAATAAGTTTGTTGTTAATCAGATTCCGAAAGGATGTCACCCCTACTGATGGGTAGGTTGACACAGTTGATAGTTTTTCTGCACTGTCAATTGAGAAGAAATGTAATAATCGTAATGGACAGGTGGATGATTGTGAGGTTTTACATTGACTAAGAGGAAAGAGACCTCTCTGAATACTCTAAATTAAATAGTACTGTAATAATAATAATTAACGGTGATAATGACAAATGAAAGAAAAACAATGCTAAATAAAATGAAAAACCGAGTGTATGTCTACTAAACAACAATTTGTAGGAATGTGACCCTGGATGATCTCTATCACAGGCTATTGACTTAAGTATACCAATCACTACATTAAATTCCAAACTAGAATTTATCTGTGGTACTCATTACACCATTTTTATTAGTGGAACAGCTCTAGCAGTTTTTTTCTTTTTAAATTGATGTTTTGTATTTTTCGCTATTTTGTCTATTGTATTATTTGTCCAGTTTTGTAGTTCGCTCTTGGTGCAGTCCCATTTAGGACTTTTTAACTTTATTTATTAAAATGTAAGTCTTATTATAGCTACTATTTTACTTTTTTAGTATTCCATTTTTAACATCAAGCTTTTGCACAAGTCTATTAATTTTGTGCGTGTGGTTTTCAGTACACCACACATAATTTGGACTAAACTCTCCCTCCTTCAAGGATAGAAGGATGAGTCACAGACCATATCTCTGCTGAGAATAGCCAGATTTGCTAAATAGTAAACTGAGCATTGTGCAAAATATCTAGGGCTGTGTAATCAAAATGATTTAACTTCTAAATGGCAGATAATTGAGCAGTAAGACTGCAGGATGCATCAATATGTTTTTTCTCCCTTACCTTTTGTGTCACTTTACCCCACTCCCTCTAGCACGTAAGCTCATTGAGCAGAGCCCTCTATCCCTGTGCGTCCAACTTGTCTGGTTACAATACAGCGCTATGGAATTTGTTGGCCATATATATATATATATATATATATATATCATAATGATCTATAAACCAAAACTGCTTCCTATAGCTGTTGTGGTGCCTACAGTGCTCCTTTAATTGCATCTGAGGAAAGACATACAATGTGACGCCTTGTTACATTGACATACACATCATGATCATGCTCAGTGGGCATGAGTCATTGTCCATGGTAAAAATATTGTAATTCAATGTGGTGTGTATTTATTGTTTCATTAAAAACATGTGATTAATAAAAAGGGGAATTGAGGCATACCTGGAAAATGCATTTCTAAGTGCCCTTAGATAATAAAAATAAATACAAAATACAGAATAGGGGACATTGCACACACACAAAAAAACAGTTTTAAATTCTACAAGGCTACTTAAAATTATTATCTTATAGGGTGATTCAGTTACAACGTATGGCCAATATTGTATTATGCCCACCACTATGTTACAGTACTCCAATATCTGTAGGCCCCACATTTATTTTAACTATAGAGATTAACATGCTAACTTGCATTATTTACAGCTTTAACTGCTTTCAGGGAATCCTTCAATTTATCCTTCCATGTGGTTACCTCTGTGGCAAAACCAACCTCGCCACTGTACACTGGAGAAGCCTGGTTGCTCGCCTGCTGCCTTTGGACTATGGCCCCATGTTAAAAGACATCTTTTTCACTGCAGAAAAGACTTATTCATGCTTTTCTGCCGGGTGTTCGGTAGATTTGTTTGAGTGTGTTGTACCCCAGATAGGAATCCCATGGAGCCCATTCGCATGAAACTGACTGTGTAAAGACTTTGGCTCCATGGCATTTAAACTGTATTCATGTGGTCTGAGCATATATGTTTTATGTACTGAATGTAACTGTAGGTAATTTTATGTCTTTTACTGTTTGTTTTCGGCCATGTGGTTAATGGAGTTTTGCCTCTGTCTTTGGAGATAATTGAATTACTTCTCAATTATCTCCAGAGCAGAGAGGAGGGATTGTGATGCATTGTGGGATGGTTGAAATGTGTAAGTCTGTGATTGGTCCTTTTACCCTTTGTGTCCCAGTCTCCCATTTGGTCCCCTAGGGGAGTGTCCACCAGGTGGGAGACCTGCATAAAAGCCGGGCAGTTAGCCCCAGTAAATCAGTTCCTGCTTAACCCTCAAAGTGAAGTGTCGTCTCATTATTGGGGGAGGATTTACTGTATGCTGTTAGAGACTGATTGCCAGGAGTGTAAGCCGCTTGGGGGCTTTTCCTGTTCGTCTGCTAGCAGCTATTCGTGTGTCTCCAGTTCGGGAGTTTCGAGTATTCCCTTGGTTGCAGTTCGGGAGTTGGTGAATTCGTGGGTTTGCAGTTCAGGAGATTGGTGCTTGCTGAAAAAGGGGAATATCGCCTAAACGGTTTTTAACCTCTTTTGGGCAAAACGGTCCGTTACAACCTCCAAAGGCGCACTTTTAGTGCATGGGCAGAGGTTCCCAGCCCAAAAGGAATCTGGTCTGGATTCCAGATATACACAGAAATAAGTGGATTTGGGTGCACACCTGAACCACACATTTCTAAGTAAGGGTGCTGCTGTAAAATACAAAATATATACAAAATACAATATTAATATGGTGATTAATTTACACTATATGGACATGCCCCACTCCCTCTAGCATGTAAGATCATTGAACAGGGCCCTCCACCCCCCTCTGTTCCTGTATGTCCAGTTTTCTGGTTACAATTACATGTCTGTTAGTCCACCCATTGTACAGCACTATGGAATCTGATGGCGCTATATAAATAATAAAATAATAATAATGTGACTAAAGCCACTTAGCCACTGGGCTTTGGAGAGGACTACTTGCCAGCCATTTACCCTTTTTTGTTTTTTAATTGATGTTTTGTATTTTTCATTGTCTATTTTGTCTAATGTGACGAAAGCCACTTTGCCACTGGGCTTTGGAGAGGACTACTTGCCAGCCTTTTACCTTTTTTGTTTTATAATTGGTATTTTGTATTTTTCATCATTATTCATTCATTGTCTATTGTATTATTTGTCCAGTTTGAGATACCCTATTTGTGGCTATTGGGATTTTAAACAATGGTTCTTCGAACTGCCGAACAGTTGAAGTGGCCGCCATTCGAACACATGGTGGCGGCCATCTTGTTCGCATGGGCTTAAACCGCAAATAGACTTCAGGGGGACTTAGCCACGAATGCCCTGGAACTATTTTCGCCATGAAAACCTCGCGGTTCCTGGTCGGTCCTCCAGCCCTTAGCCGCGATTCTATGGAACTGTTTTGGGCATGAAATCCTGTGTTCGCCTGGGCAAAACTATG